TACAATGAAATAAATACAATGAAATAAATTGGTTATGTGTGGCGGTCGCAATACGTGATCCGGCACAAAATGGCAATCTGGCACTGCGCGACACGCGCGCGGGCGCGCGAGCGCCAGCTTCTGAGTAGTTCGCCGACCGCCGCTAGGTCGCGCATGGTGGCGGCCAAAAACTCGGTAGCAAAATCCAGTCTCGTAGGGTATAAAAGGAGGCCCGCTTAGCCCACTGGTAATACTTGCCCTTTTATCCACGCCCACGTGATCACGTACACTAGAAAAAGATAGATACCCAAATAAATTGGTGTTGTCCTTTTCCCTCAGGAGGACATCCCCCACTACCTCATAAGCAGTCTATCTTTTATATGTCTATGATTGCGACCGCCACAGATTAATTAATATTTAATTATTAAAAATCCTATCCAAAATATAGGTACACATTTGTTAAAAACACGTCCGTTATAGATCCAAAACAGGTCCAAAATAGATCCAAAGTTGGATGTATTTTGGACATCCTATGGATCTCTAAAGCAGTGTCATTTGAACATCCCATGGGCGTCCAATGGACATCCTACGGGCCTTAAATGGACGTACTTTGGACGTCCGAATGTCCAGATGCGGCCGTCCATCGGACATCCTGTGGACGTCCATGTGCTATCTGGATATCTTGGGGCATTTCGCGTATAAATATAACATCAAAATGTCACACCTCTACGAATCACGATCGAAGAGCCGGGATTAAATTTAAATATCTCAAATCTGACTTTGCGATTTGGCGATCATCCTGTGGGATGGAATTTACATTACAGTAATACTCTTGGTTTCATTCACAAAATGTTTACTTTTATTACTTTTAGTATACATCTTCCTGGGCACGCCAATGTCACTGATAGATATGATGAATTCGATGCAAGGTCAAAGGCTCCTAGATAACGGGGAGTACATGGTGATACACGTGGACATGATGACGTATTCGCAACGTGAAGCACAGAAGTATTTGTGGAGTGAGTAAATCGAGCAAATCTTATCACACATTACGTTTATATCGTGAACAGTAGCTTCGATAAGTTGATTACGCAATCTTACACTATTTATAACATGCAAGCATAATATTACAAAAACTAATCCTTTAAATAAATTTAAAGCTAGATTATTATGTGTGTACACATTTTTGCAGTAAACTTAAAGATTTGTTATTCAAAAATATTACGTAACAACTATGTCTATTTTGATTTAATAACATATAGTAATTTGTTCTTGGCGCAGAACCGGAACACTTCGATCATCTGAAGAATTGTCTCGAGCCAAAGGACTTTTTGAAGAGGGCACGTTCATTGATGGTCGTCGTGTCGACACCACCGACGCAGAATTACGAAGAATTTACTAAGAAAGTCCGACACTACAGTAGCATAGAACCCTTCAACTTTCAAGTTCCCGAGCTTCTGAGAAAGTATGAAAAGGTATTCTAGATCAATTGTAAACGCTCGCGCATTATGCAATTTTTATTTTATTAATGTAGGAAAATTATTTAACAATGCAACTGGCAATTCTAATTAGAGAAAATTTATTGCCGAAAATATTACCTCATTGTCAGCCAGGGTTTGAATCTGGACCTACCTACACTCTAGGCGGGCGTCTCAACAATTCGACTCTCGCTGTCGCTTGTGTTCAAACCTGGCTGAGGTAATATTTTTCGTAATAAATTTTCTCTAATTAGCATTGCCAGATGCATTGTTAAACAATTTCCCTACATTGATTGATTATGTACTGGCGACAATAAGCTCTTATTCTTGTTATTTTATTTATTTTTAGTATGTCTCGATTTACGCGGCATATCTTTATGATTCTGTGAAGCTATATGCAAAAGCCTTGGATCAGTTGATAAAAGATTACCCAGGCATTTCTATCGAGGAACTAGCCAGAAACGGCACTCTTATAACCGATATGATTCTCAAGAAATCATCTACATATCAAAGTACGTATAAATGACATAAAAGATATAATTTGTATTGATAGGATTAATCTCAAGTGATTCACTATTGATCTAATACTCGATGTGATTGATGATAAGCGAGAGAAAAGCAATTAAATTGAAGATAAATTGATATAATTCTTAAGTAGGTATTTTCTTTGTTTTATAAACATTAATCTCGCGCCAAGTATATTTTTTCCTATATAAAACCGAGTACATAACTTTACCCTAAATAAAATACAGAAGTGATATACATACATCCTTCCGTAAGCATGACGCTACAGCGTATCACTTACTGAAACGAATACACTTGTTTAGAAATAAAGCAGGGTTCTTATTAAACAAAGCGATATTATCAAAAAATAATAATTTTTTAGAAAGACCTAGATTTTTTAGATTGTAATGGTATAATAAAGGTATGAATACATACAGGGTGAGTGATTATTTCTAGAGAAATATAATTAGATATTACATGATTGAGACAATAGAACGAGATTTTATCCATTTTTCCCCGAGTTGTTCGGGTATTGTATTTATGTCATTCATATACGTTGTCGTCGCCTTCTGCGCAAAATTTTGTTGTCTGCTTCGGCACGTTGCTACCTGATGACCCCACCATAAATTTTCGATTTTGAGTTATTATCAGATATGTATATGGGGGTAGCATGACACGGATTTTAGCACACGTTCGGCATCGATTTGCAATCCTGCGCGCGTTATACAGTGAGAGCGGAGAGCAAGGGTGGTGAAAATAGTTTTTCAAAAAAAGAAGGAGGACCAGTGGTGGGCGGTGGTAGGTGTCCGAAAACGGGTTGTAGTTTTCACGATTATGGTTCTATAAGGGTTGACGTCAACCAACTCCACTCTCACCCCACCCCTATTTTTTAAAAGGGGGTAAAAATTTCGAATTTTAGGTATCATCAGATTTATATGTAGGGTGGCGCGACACGGATTTTGGCATACGTCCGGCGTTGATTTGCAACCCCTGCATGTGTTATACAGTAGGGGCGAGGGTGAAGGGGGGTGAAAACAGGGTTTCAAAAAAAGAAGGAAAATGAGTGGTGGGCGGTGATTGACGTCTGAGAACGGGTTGTACTGCTCACGATTGTGAATTCCGCCTAAAAAAGATATGAAAAATGTAAAAAGAAATCGCCAAGTATATTTTGTTCGGTTCACACACACACGCGCGCGCGCCTCACACACACACACACACACACACATTCACGTAAAATTATTTGGTAAATTAAAAACCAAAAGTCAAATATAAATCCATGAAAAGGAAGTGAAATCAAAATTGTTCCGAGTTCATTTACTAAAAAAAATTAAAAATAAAACACCATGAAAAACAAATGAAATCCAAATTCTTCCAACTATATTAAACATTATGAAAAAATTAAACAAACGAGAACGCATTTTACGTCCGACCAAGTTGTTGGTAGCCCAATAATTTTAATCTAATATGAGAATTCATATGCTGTTTTTCCATCTGTCCTGTACGCCGGTTTTCTTTTTGGACGTAACACAGTTACGTATAGATGAAATTATTGTCGTCAGCAAATTCATGTATGTATTTAAGATAAATATTTATTTTAGTATTTATCTTAAATACATAAAGTTGCTGACAATAATGATTCCATTTAAACGAAACTGTGTTATGTCCGAAAAGAAACTGGTGTACAGGACAGGTAGAAAAGCAGTATATGAATTTTCATATTAGATTAAAATTATTGGACTACCTAAATCTTGGTCGGATTTAAAAGGCATTCTCATTTGTTTGATTTATTTCATAATGTTCAATATATTTTGAATAATTTGGATTTCACTTTTTTTCATTTGATTATACTTTATTTTTGTTTTTGTTTTTTAATAAATTTACTTGAAATAATTTTGATTTCACTTCTTTTTTATAGCATTATATTTGATTGCTGGTTTTATAATTTACGTATGTCTTTATTAAAATTTATCATTGCTAGGTGTGAGCGGGGCAACTATTAAATTGGATCCCTCTGGAGACTCGGAAGGAAACTTTTCAGTGCTTGCTTTGAAAAAAGAACCGTTTCGTGTCCATAACTTCTCTTGCGACTATCAGATGATGCCTGTAGGCCAATTCCAGCAGGGTGAAACCCTTCTAGTGAGTGAATTATTTGTAGCGTTTAAGAAATTCTTACAACAGGTTGAAGATAGAAAAGATGGTTATTCCATACTTAAATAATAGAATCATCGAAAATAAGGGTCGAAAACGCCATGATGATGTAAAGCAAATATGACATAATATAATTATATAATGTACTAGTATAAGTGAACCACCATGCGCTCTGTGCACTGGTAAAGCCAGAAATTCTGGTAGTTTTCCTCAAAATGAATCTTTAATACATCGAATACGGAAGCCACCTTGATTTTCACATTGTACAAGATGATTAAGCACTGTTTCAATAAAGAATCATTGCAAAAAGGGTGCAAAAATGTTTGTTTGTCGTCGTCATAATCGTCTTGTTCTTCGCAAAATTTTTGTTATTCCCTTCGACCAAATGGCGCCAAACCGTATGAAGTTCAAATATTGAATTTCGATATTGAATTAGCATCAGATACTTTTTGGGGATGGCACGACACGGATTTTAGCATGCGTCCTGTATCGATTCACAACCCCTGCATGTGTTATACAGTGGGGGCGGAGGGCGAGAGGGGTGAAAAGTTTTTTAAAGAAAGAAGGAAAACGAGTGGTGGGCGGTGTTTGATGTCTGGAAATGGGTTGTAGTTCTTACGATTACGGTCCTATAAGGGGTTAATGCCGACCCCTCCACTCCCACCCCCACCCCACCTTCTATTTTTTAAAAGAGGATAAAATTTTCAAATTTTAGTTAAAGAGTATAACAGTTTTCCAAAGAAAGAAGGAAAACGAATAGTGGGCGGTAGTTAGTATCTCAGAACGGGTTGGAGTTCTCAAAATTATGGTTCTATAGGGTTGATTCACAGCCCTTGTGTGATTTACACAGGGTGTCCCGTAAGTCAAAGTCAGTCACTCAGGAGATGAATGAGGACCCAAAAACAAGAGAGAAAGATAATATAAACATAGGTCCAAAAGTCAGAATATTAATTATGAAATACAGAAAATTATATTGTATTCGATTTTGTATTTTTAATTTACAAAATAATCTTACATAAACCATACAAAATGTACTTGGGGGGGGGGGGGTATTTTTATTTTTAATGACTTTTAGGCGGATATTCTAATCACAATACCATTATTTTATTATTAATATTTAAATTTGTTTTATAAAAACGCGTTTTTATATTTGTTTAATATTTATTTATTTGTATTTATTTTTTATGTATTTATTATTTTTATTCATTGATATTCATTCAATCTTTTTTGCATATAAAAAGTTTATTTCTACTTCCTATTTCTGACTAACAAACTCTGTAAAAGGAAGTGAACTTACTGATAAGAGTTCTCAAGCATTTTGTTATATTAAATTCTTCTTTAACTCAGACACCAACTTTTGAGATCCTTCACTCTTTTATGCAAAGCACGATTTTCCTGTTGTATCACTTTTATTGTTCTATTTTGGGTTTCAATATGTAACATGAGTAGCTTCCAATTTCTCAGTGCTTTCTTTGGGAACTCTAAATTGTTAGGATCGCAATCGCGAACGAATATAGGATTGTATCTTTGACTTTTTCGCGGAGAAAGCCTTACAATCTGACTCTATGTTATCGACAATAGGAAGAGGAGGAGGAGGAGGAGGAGGTAGAGGTGGAAGAGTCTCAGTTTAAGCACTAGGATAAAAAATTTGAAAAAAATTTGAACTCTTCATCTTGGATTCAAATTACAAATTCAATTTGAAACTTACGTCAAATTATCTTGTTTGAACACTTTCGCTAACTGTGTATCATTGATAGTAGGGATTACAGATTCAACCCTTAGAACATCAATTCTATTGGATGGTATTTGGAAGGTTGATTGTTCGACATGATGAATTGAATCAGTAAACGTAGTAAACGTGTCCTTAAAATTCTCAGGAATATCTTTGAACTTTTATAGAAATATAATTTACAATATATTTATAGATAATAGATAATTCAAAATTTAAAAAAATGTGATTAATGTGATACATTAAAATTGATACTTAAGAATATATAATTTTTACTGTATAACTTATAGGAAGCTAAATATTGTTGGCAGTGATCCTCGTTTAATGCGTCTTCTGTAATCCCTTGTTTCATATCACTCACACGTACAAGCTCACGCTCACGCACACACCAGGAGAATAGAAAAAAACATTCTTCCAAAAAGTGTTGACTGCACAGAACTAATGTTTTAGCAAGTAAGATATTAGGACCTATAGTATTACACCATGCTTTCCGGAGAAGATTCATCTTGAGGAAAATTACCAGAAATAGTTACTATTACATTTACTAATGTTAAAAATTAATTAATTTTTTCTTTGTTTAAATTTTTTTCGAATAATGCTATAGTATTTGCAAATCATGTTTATAAAAGAGTTATTTTTAATTAAAAAAATTAGTTTTAGGCTATTTACCTGTGAAAGGAGATATTTTTCTCGTTGAGTTGTTTTTGTAAACTGCAAACACAACACATTTTTCACACGTTGCAAATTTTAAACTATAATGAGAACGTAAACATAAACGAACATGTAAACGAAAATATTCTTCTATTTGTGTAACTATAAAATGGAAAACGTAAATGGAAACGTTCCTTCTAAAACTCTAAACACGAAAATGTTCTATCTCCAGCTATCAAAATTGTCCATGTGTCAAAGACGCGCCAAAGAACATTACACTTGAATATAGCAATGAAGTCCCTTTAATCTCTGTCTCACTTGGTTATTCTGGCTTCACCAGTTCACAGAGCGTAATGGTAGGTCGATTTATACTACGTCCATGTGATGTGCACATAGCGTCATTAATGCCTACCCATCTAAAGTTACACGCGGACCGAGACATTTTTTTAAATCGTGCAACTTTCTAACTCTTCGTGTATCATGACTAAGGAAACAGCGAATCAGCATTACTGGTTTCAATGTTATGATGTACGAAGAGTTAGAAAGTCGCACGCTTTTCAAAAATACCTCGATCCGCGTGCAACTTCAGATGGGTAGGCATTAATAACAGTATGTGTAGGTATATAAGTCTTGGCCAGGCGCTATGGATTGGCCTGGTAAAAATAAGCCAGAGGCAGAACCTGGTTGCGGTTTTCTGAACGAACACTGTCCGAAGGACGATACACATCTCCGCAGTATCATTGTTGCTGCAACACTGGCTGTTTTGCTATTTTGCGCCACAGTAATCACTATGAGCATATATCGACGATGGAAGATAGAACAGGAGATAGAAGGATTGCTTTGGAAGATTGATCCGAATGAGATTCACGGTTATCCTCATCTTGATAACATGATGTCCTCCCCTAGTAAGGTAAAGAGCGTATGTGTTTATCATAATTGAGATAGATGGTAGAGTGCTTATTTGTATGTCGACACTGCTGCGTGATGTGAAGCTAAATATGTTTCGATTACAGTTAAGTTTAGTTAGTGCAATGTCCTACGAGTCGAGATGTGGCGGTCAAGTGTTTGCGCAAACTGGACATTACCATGGTGTAATGGTACGAATAAAGGAGTTGAAATTCTCGAAGAAAAAAGACATTTCACGGGACGTTATGAAGGAGATGCGCATTCTCCGTGAAATTAGACATGGTAATCTCAACTCCTTCATCGGAGCGTGCGTGGAGCCAATGAGGATATTGTTAATTACTGACTATTGTGCCAAAGGAAGTCTTTATGTACGTCGTAACGTCGTCACGGTGACATCTTGCTATTATTCGTAGTATATTGTATATAGAATGGAAGCAAAACAATATATTATTATATCACGTATAAATAAAAAACGTATGCAATATCTATAAATGAGGTCTGCGAAGTTAGAACCGTGAAATAAAAGTGTTTAACTTGGTTACATTAACGACTGTTAACTTAATTTAGTTACATTTTATCGATAACTTTTAACTTTTAATTTACTTTTCTTAAAGTTAGCCGTGCCATAAACAAAGGCGTAGCGAGACCTCGCACGCCTGCCTACATTGGCAGTTCCTGTATTCCACTATCGGGGTAAACTGGCTACAATGCAGCGTGTTCGATTTTATTTACTACAAAGAAACTATACAACGTGTTTGGACAAACAATTCCAGTGTTTAAGTTAAGGAAATGCAAGTAGAAGTACTCAGGGTGGTCGTTGTGTATTTTCTTTACATTTGTTTGTTAACAACTCGATTCCGCTGGATGGACAAACCATAATAAGGAGTAGACAATCGAAAACAATGCGTCGACAAACGATTCTAGTATGTAATGTAAAGGAAAGACATTTAATGTTGTTTATAAAGACAATTACTCGTTTTTTTTACTCATAACTTTTTTACGGCGTGGATAAACGAAAAGTTTGGGTGGACAAACATAGATAAATCATGGACAACCAAATCCCACTTAAAAATAATGAGGTATATTTATGGGAGTGCTATCAAATTTTTCAATTTTTCATAACTTTTCTTTGAACGACAAACAAAAATTTGGGTGGACAAATATGGACAAATCATAAACAATCGTATTCTATTCTATATTTAGAAATTAATGAGAACTGTTCATGGGGTGCTCATTGTCAAATTTTTTAATTTGGCCATAAGGTTTTTTAAGGGTGGAAAAACGAAAATTTTGATTGGACAAAACGTGGACAAACAAATGTCACTTGAATTTTTGAAAACTTTTATTTCGGAGTGCTAACTTCACAGATCTCTGTAAATGTACAGTGATGGATAGAATGGTTGCGACACTTTTTGTTAGTCAGTTTAGGAACGTGCATTTAGATTCAGGTTTACGTTCCAAAACCTTTTTTCCAAAAAAATATTTTACTCAATGGTCATTCCGAAACCATTTTGAACGTTTCGATCTATTTCTCAAATAAAATTTTCCCCAGAGAAAATGTTTTGAAACGTAAATCTAAATCTGAATGTATGTTTCTAAACTCATTAAAAATGGTGTCGCAACAATTCTGTCTATCACTACACGGTCGTGATCAGAAAGGTTTTGCGATCGTTTATAATAAGTTTCGGGACGCAGCCTATCATGTCAGAAATCATGTAGCTTCTGCTCACAAAATATTCGTATGCATCATTGCACATATCTGTAAGAAATAGCTATAACCTCTTGCATGATAGACTACGTTCCGAAATTTGTCATAAAACACCGGACAACCTTTTCGACCACAACTGTACATACTTGTTTTCTTGAAAGTTCAGATAAGATAGTAAGAAAGAAAGAGAAAAAGAAGGTAATATATTATTTATATAAATATACATTGTACATTTTTCAGGACATTATTGAAAACGAAGATATAAAATTAGATGATATGTTCATTGCATCATTAATTCACGATCTCATTAAGGTAGGTCTATTTATAGATCTTTTCTGTACCGTAATGTGAAAGAGCATTTTGCTCTTATCATACTGTCGCTCGCTCGTCTCAGAAATTTGTTCAATTGAGATTTGTGTTAATAAAAATTATCTAAATCTTACAAAATTCTCGTTACATAAGACATCATTGAAATTAAATTATGTAGTGTGATCAAAAAGTGTTGGGACTAGTTTTACAACTCAACTAATTTCGATGGTAGAGAATCTGCTCATAAATTTTAGAATGTCTGTTTGTTATAGCACAAAAACCGACTTTCAACCTTTAGTCAGTACACTTCGAGTGTCTTTCGAACAAACATTTACACCGGGCTTACGTCGCGTTTCCCTTAGCGCGCAAAGTATCGGAAGAGAAAGAACAGCATACAATTTTAAGTAAAACTTGGAAAAACCGCTACAGAAAAGTAATTTGCATATTCAACATTGTTTTCAGTTAAGAATCCATAGGTCATGCACGTGTATTTGTTGAGTGGTTTAAAAAATTCAAAAAGGTCAAAACCTCTCCGTTGAAAGCGACCCGCGGTCTGGACGCTCTTCAACAAGCAGAAACGAAGATTCTGTCGTGCATATAAAAGAATCAATATGCAAAAATTGACGATTAATATTAATAAAGGTTGAAAGTGCGTGAAATTTTTACGTATGAATCTTGGTTTTTTTTAACGGATCGCTTTCAACGGAGATTCGGTCTTTTTCAAATCTTTTAAACACATGCACGATTCATGGATTTTTCACCAAAAACAATCTTTAACTTTTCAAAATTCTTCGTTACAATCTTTCCAAGTTTTACACAAGTTTTATACATACACGATTTTCTTTTTCTTTTTGCGCGCTGAGGGAAATGCATAGGCCCGGTGCACGTATTCGTTCAAGAGACGCTCGAAAGGTACTGACTAACAATTGAAAGTCGGCATTTATGCATAAAGATCAGAGATTCTAGATAAGATGTACGCGTGGGGATGAATTTTTGCCATCAAAACTGGCCGAGTTTTACAAGCAGTCTCGGTACTTGTTGATCGTATATTGCGACTTTTAATGCGGTTGTTAAATTACAGGGTATGCTATATATTCATGAGTCATCTCTACTAGTCTGTCATGGTAATCTAAAATCTTCCAATTGTGTTGTAACTTCACGTTGGGTACTCCAAGTTTCCGATTTCGGTCTTCACGATATGCGTCACTGCGCCGAATCTGATAGTATCGGTGAACATCAGTATTATCGAAGTAGATATTTCTATCTTCTATCAAGTATATTTTGTATTGCTTTTAATCGTCATTTTAACTAAACTATCTTGTTGCAGGTTTATTTTGGAAAGCTCCCGAATTGTTAAGAAACTCGCATGCTCCGATTAAAGGCACTCAGGCAGGAGATATTTATTCCTTCGCTATTATTCTATATGAAATTCTTGGACGCAAGGGACCATATGGAAATATAAATCTGGAACCCAAAGGTAAGGAATAGTATAATGGGAATATTAGAAATAAGTATGTTCGCCAACATTTAGCATTTTTTATGATTTTCCTAAATATCCATTTAGACATTTTTCGAATGTCTCAAACAGTCCAGTACCTGACTTCTGGAATAAATATTTGCCTAAAAAGTGATTTTGAACTCATCTAGAATAAAAAAAAAAATGTTGGAACTGGAATGTCTCAAACAGTCCAGTACCTGACTTCTGGAATAAATATTTACCTAAAAAGTGATTTTGAACTCATCTAGAATAAAAAAAATAAATGTTGGAACTTGCGAAATTATCATACACAGTGTACACTTTACGATAATGTAACGAAATTGCATACAAGGTTCATTGCACACACAAACGTATAACGGAATTATACTTTACAGAAAAGGTGTGTGTAATAAAATATGAACAATTTATGTTTATATTATATTTATATCTATATCCTAAAGAATAGATTTTCATAGCTTTTACTGTAAATAACTATCATGTAGGTGCATATAAAGGTTTTTGTAAAGAAAATTACAAAAACCGTTCCATATTTCAAATTACTAAGTTATTCCCAATTCAACACAAGTTTCATCAAATTACAAAAGTATTTATTGGGGCAAAATTGTGAAAACTGACGAATATGTAAATACCTATCTTATAACGTTTATGTATTGGTCAGTTTTTAACTTAACTTTTTTTGACGTAAACTTAAATTTAACCTAAACATTACAAAAAAATTAATAAGACTATTAAATAACTTGTGACAGAAATCATAGACCGAGTGAAAAGATTCCCAGACGATGGCGAACCGCCGTTTAGGCCCAACTTAAATATACTCTCCGAGTCAAAAGCAAATTGTGCCGACTACGTCGTCAGCACAATTACAGACTGCTGGGCCGAATGTCCAGAATTTAGGCCTGACTTTAAAGCAATAAGAACGAGATTGAAAAAAATGAAAGCTGGGTGGCATCGCAATATAATGGATCAAATAATGAATATGATGGAGAAATATGCGAGCAATCTTGAAGATCTAGTCACCGAGCGTACGGGTCTTCTCTTGGATGAAAAAAAGAAAACGGAAGATCTTCTGCACAGAATGCTACCCAAGTAAGTTTTCGCAGTGTGATGTGCTCGTCAATAAGAAGTAGTGACCATAAAATTCTGAGTGATCTAAATGCGTATAAATATATATTTAAAAAAATATTATATTGTTTATAGACCTGTCGCGAATTGTTTAACAAACGGTATTGGAGTGGAACCGGAAGCTTTTGACTTGGTTACTATATACTTTAGCGATATTGTCGGTTTCACTGCGATGTCAGCAGAAAGCACACCATTTCAGGTATATTGTCATGTACCGTTTTATAATTAATAAAATAAAAATGTCATTTATGTAATTGATAATTGTGACGACAGGTTGTAAATTTCTTAAATGATCTGTATACGTTGTTTGATCGTATAATCAGAGGATATGAAGTATATAAAGTTGAAACAATCGGAGATGCGTACATGGTCGTAAGTAGCATATTTACCTAAGTGATTAATTGCGACAAAAGAAATCCATTTCTCAGTGCTCAATACTTTATTTAGGTTTCCGGTCTCCCAATAAGAATTGGAGATCAGCATGCTGGACAAATAGCATCAATGTCATTGGAATTACTTAATGCTGTTAAGCATCATACGATACCTCATCGGCCTCAAGAAACTCTCAAGTTACGTATCGGCATTCATACCGGTAAGAAAAGATGCATTTAAGAACATATGTAATATACATGTGTGTATGTATACATATAGTGATGTAACTAGCTTTTCATGTGCAAGGTTTTATCTTTGGACACTTAAATTTTTTGGGGAAGAATAATAATAAAACAAGTATGATATAACAATTGTTGCATCAATGAATTGAGCAATCGCTATACTGCTAAATAACAAATTTAAGATTTAATAAAAACTTGAAATTTTTTAATCTGAAAATGTAAAAGTCTAATTTAAAAGTACTGAATTTTTTGGTCGACTTTAGGACCCCTCTACGTCATGGCCTCTGTGCTCGTGTATTTTTTGCACGTGCCTAGTTACAGTGTATATATGCATACATATACACATTGATATACTATTCAGTGGTAACATGAATATAAAATTACAGGTCCTGTGGTAGCGGGCGTTGTCGGTTTGACAATGCCTAGGTATTGTCTATTTGGAGACACCGTCAATACCGCGTCTCGTATGGAGTCTACCGGAGAACCGTTACGAATACATATCAGTAAGCAATGCAAAGAGGCATTAGATAAGATCGGTGGTTATAAGATCGAAGATCGAGGCTTTGTTGAAATGAAAGGAAAAGGAACAGTGAAGACTTACTGGCTCACGGGTGCTACTGTGACACACAGAAGGAATACGGAGGTTCGTAATAAATAAAAAATTTTAAATATTTATATGTGAATTGTATGAACAGTGTGGTATAACAAGGATGTAATAAGGACTTTTTAGAATTTAAATATCTTATTCTTAACAAAGTTATTTTAATATTCTTTAAAATTAATTAGTGAATCTGTCCGATTTTGAATCTACACTAAAGCAATCGTTAAGTGAAAAGTACATTCTTATTATTTATTGTTAATTGTAAACTTTTTTCTCTAACGCATCTTTTTTCGCTAACTGAATCTTTGTATCTCTACAGAACTCTAATGAGGATGAAAATCTTCCGCCACTGTTCTGCAGACCGCGAAAAAGCCCGAAGCTAAATCCAGACTCGCGATATGCATCGCTACTAGATGGATTAGGTGCCGGTAGTCGTAGACAATCAAGTGTACCATATCCAATAGCAGACGACTCGTCTTCACAGTGTGGTGGATCTAGTCCACTTCCGCGACCGTTGCACGCTCGCAAGCTCGAGAGATCTCCCCTGTCTCTGACTGAAAGCGTTTCAAAAACCACACTAGACAATGTTTCGGTTCAGGAGGAAGAAGAGCGAAGACGCTTCTTAAATATCAAGTCAGTCGATGACCTGTTTATAAGTATAGGACCAAAACTCAGGAAAAATGCACGTGCTTTATCTACCATCGCATCTTCGTCATCGAGTGACTATCCATCCCAGACTGTCATACGCGGATCCCGTTCACTCGACCCGCTTCCCACTGATATGTATAATAAACGACTTGAATCGCCGAATTTCTGGAAGGAAAACGAATGCACGCGGATTAACTCAAAAGCGGACATTTCGGAGAAAATGCTGAATAATAATTATTCTAATGGTAATGTGATAATGTTGTCTCATACCGATAATCCTCCGAATGAAGCAGATCCACTGTTAGGTAACGACAATGTAGACAAGAGCGAAATACGGGAGAAGCGTTCGCGTTCGCTAGATCAGGTGGTATCTGCATCTAGCATGGACAGTGTACCTGATAAAAAGTCTTCCGCGCGAAAATTGTTAGAAATTCCGCCTGTTTCAACCATTATACAAATGTTCAATGGTAATGGAATGCGCAACAGCAATGTTTCTCTAAGAAGAGGAATACTAGCAGGGTATGATAAGCAAAACGAACGCGAAAGTGTGGTCTAGTACACATTCGAGAAACTTTCTCATTAAATTTTCTTTTTCTAATGCGATAAGCTGAGTAGCAATAGAATCACGTGTAAAAACTAGGTGCTATCATACGCACAAACTATATGAAGTATACATTTACGAAATTTTTTTTTCTTTTTCCTAATGCGACAAACCGAGTAGCAATAATTAGAATCGTGTAAACATTAGGCGCTGTCACAGGCACAAATTATATGAAATATACATTGACGAAATTTTCTTTTTCTTTTTTTAATGCGACAAACCGAGTAGCAAGAAATAGAATCACGTGTAAACACTAGCCGCTGTCACACGCACGAACACATATGTGAAAGGTACATTTACGAAATTTTCTTTTTTTTTAATGCGACGAATCGAGTAGCAATGGAATCACGTGTAAACACCAA